AGCAGATGCCTCTCCTGGAACTATGGCTCTGTTCTACAGATCCTTCTGCTAAGCATCTGGCACTTCTTCCTGCTGCTCTACACTATTGTGTGGATGCTCTCAGAGCCTTCCTACAGCAGTTATCCAGGGTAGAACTGTCAATGCAGATGCTTTTGTATCGTGTGGTGTCAATATTGTGTAACTGGCATGTACAAACCAGGTGAAGAGACTTTTCCTAAGGAGTATCTCTTTGGTGAATGTCTATTTTAATTTAGGATGTTGCTGGTGGTAAGAGCATGCTTTTGTCTAGCAAGAATAAAGCTAGGACACCTATGAACAAATCCTTTTTTGGTTTAGAAAGTTTTTTTTTTTTTTTTTTGCCCAAGCCCAGTACCCCTTTTCATCACAAACCCTGAACTCCCAAGCCAGATAGGCCTGACACCAAGCCCCCCCTCTCAGTGATGGGAGTGCCCCCACTTTGAGTGGGGGACATCTTTTGCAGTTTCCTGGGTATGAGATTTGCAGGACCTCTGTGTCATGGATGTCATCTCCAGGGGTACAGGCTAGAGTTTCACTCTTTTTCCCTCCTCCCCAGGTCATGCTTTACAGTCTGCTACCTTCTCCTTAGAGGTTGGAGGATCTGTATGCTGCTCTTCAGCAATTGCTCACCTCATGGGTCATTGTTCCTGTATCTGCAGGTGAGAGGTTTCAGCAGTTTGTCTTTTGAAACAGTGAACAGGATGGAGTACATCACTGCATTCCTCCTGAATCTGAAGGAATTTCAGGTCCAGGATAGAAGTTTCAAATGGAATCAGCCAGGTCAGTTGCTGTAGCATAGAGATCTACTTGAGTCAGTGGACACAAGAATGCCTGCTTACTTGAGCTTTAGAATCTGCACTGGACGGGAATGTGTGAGTCCTCAACCCTTGGAAATCTGTGCTATATCTGGTTTTCCATTTGGAATACTTGGAGCTGGTCCAGGTTTCTCTCCTTTGAAAAGGATAAGGTCTCAGCAATAAAATTCTATAAAAAGTATCTGCAATCACAATGCAGCAACAGCATCCCTAGTGATAGCATGGGCTGTGACAGGTCCTCTTTATGGAGAGATCTGTCATCTAGTAGACCCCCAGATCTCTCCTCTGCCCTCCAAAGCATCTGATCAAACCAAGATCCGGTTTCGGCTTCAAGGCATCTGATCAAACTGAAGTGACAAATTCCCTGTCGCTTCCAGTTTGACAGAAGTTCCTCTCATGCTGTCTTGGCATTGGATCTAACTGGTTGCATAGTTACCGGTCTCCACGATGGGATATGAAAGCCCAGTAAAGGTGGTTGGCGGCATGTAAAAGTGATCAAGCAGCTGTATAGCTGCTTGAATCACTTACTATGTGGGAAATTGCTATCACTAAAAAAATCTTTTGATTATAGCTGCAATGATCAAGATATCACTACTCCCATCCGTGGATGTATATACACATACGGTGGACTGGGAGCGGTTACAGGAAAAGTTTGGGTATTGCTAAAAAAAAAAAAATAAACTCTCATACCTCCAAGCTGCAGTAATACTGATTCTGTTTTCTGTGTCTCTTGATCCATAGTGCTTGCTAAAAAAAAAAACCCAAGAGGATAACCGATGGTGGGAGGGATTATATGGGGAGGGTCCCAACTTTGTTATGTGTAATCACCTGAAGATGGCATCAATCAAACCAGTCTTCTAAGACTATGCCAATGTCTTCTACTGTACTCCAACAAATGGATTTTACAGGCAAGTCAAAAATCCTTTAAGAATTTCTGTGTCGCTGAATGGACCAGAAAGAAAAACTATTATACACACTGATCAGCCATACACATTATGACCACTGACAGGAAAAGTGAATACCAGTTAAATATATTAGGCAGCAACTGAACATGTCGCAGAAGTTGATGTGTTGAAAGCATAAAAAATGGGCAAGCATAAGGATTTGAATTACTTTGACAAGGGTCAAATTGGAATGGCTAGATGACTAGGTCAGAGCATCTCCAAAACTGCAGCTCCTGTGGGATGTTTCCAGTCTGCAGTTTTAAGACTTGCTAGTTCTCCTTTCTTGGACCACTTTTAGCAACAGGGTCAGCTAAGGCTCATTGATGCATGTGGGGAGTGAAGGCTGGCCTGTGTAGTCTGATCAAATAGAGGTTACTGTAGCTCAAATTGCTGAAAAAGTATAGCCGCAGACTGGTTGGGGTGGCCATGGTGACCTGTGTCCACAGTCAAAAGCACAGTGCAATTGTCATGTGAGCATCAGAACTGGGCCATGGAGCAATGTAAGAAGGGGGCCTGGTCTGATGAATTCAAGAATGGTTTGAAGTATTACCTTGGTTTCCAAATTCTGCAGATCTGTTGAGTAATCTGTGGGATGTGCTGTAAACATTGGTGGTGACAGGTGACTGGGTTTGGACCCCATTTGTGACAAATGGCTGGTCAAACGCACACCGCGCTGTCATTTGATACCAGATGACACTCTCGGCCTTACCCAGCATAAAGCTTTTTTGCAGACTCCAAGCATATGTTTTGCACTGAGGAGAGGCATCCGTCTAGTCACTCTGCCATAGAACCCAGATTGGTGGAGGGCTGCAGTGATGGTTGGCCTTCTGGAACTTTGTCCCATCTCTGAAGTGACCATTGGGTTCTTGGTCACCTTTCTTACCAAAGCCCTTCTTCCATGATTGCTCAGTTAGAGCCACTGGCAGATGCATGTGCTTCAGCATTGCGTGCAGGCAGCCCGTAGACACAGATGCACATGCAGCACTAGCAAACACATACGCATGTCGAAGTTTACCATACAGCCAGGAACAGGTGCACAGATCTGGCACTAATCTGCTGTCTTTGAGACCTAAAGCATGATAGTATTATTGTGTGCTTTTTTTTTTTTTTTTTAAATGGTTCCAAGATTGTTAAATGCAAATGTGAAATTGTTTGCCTTGCAAAGCAGAAGTGATTCCATAGCTTCTTGGAGCTCTGTGTTGGTTGATGGCTTGGGTCTTGCCGCTTTAGGCTTTTTGCTGTGTTTGTGTCCAACTCATGGCAGAAACATGGAGGTGGTTATGCTGGCCTCTTATGAAAAGGCTAAGTGGCCTGGCTGTAATGGCGACAGTCTCTATTCTTTGTCACTGACCCAAGGCATCAAAACTGCTTGTATTTTCAAAATGAATGACCAATAGTGGCAGCCTCCATTCTTCTGTCTCAAGTAGAAGTTTTTCCACAAAGTAAATAAAAGGTGCAAATATATTAGGTTGAAAAGACACCTGCATTGAATATCTAAAAAAAAAAAAAAAAAAACCACAAACACTTACATCCATAGAATCATACAAAAATTACAACTGCTTGTTTAACCTCTGTGCCAGTAATCCCAAGTGTGGCTCTGGGTTAATTTTCAGTACCAAAAAGCTGTAACCCCAAGCCACAGTCAGGATTACACTGTAGTGCAGGCATGTCCAAAGTCCAGCCCGTGGGCCATTTACGGCCCGGGGGTCGGTTTAATACGGCCCTACAACAGCCCTCCCTGCTCTGTGTAATGTGGCCCTCCCTTCTATGGCAGACAGTCTTCTGCTTGAGAGCAGAGGGCAGTGCGCATGCCTGACTGCGGCGCGTTCTCCCTGGTCTGTGTAAATGCGGCTGTCGCACGGCCCTCCCTTCTGTGGCAGACAGTCTTCTGCTTGAGAGCAGTGTACATGCGTGACTGCGCCGCGCTGGGAGTGACAGAGGGCGGTGACGTCAGGGCCGGGCTTCCAGCGTGAAGTGTGTTTCTCTTCCCCTCCCGGCTGCCGAGCAGAGACTTCAGCTCCAGCTACCTTTTTCACCCTTCACATTAGTGCAGGTAAGTTTTTTTTTTTTTTTTTTACTTTATTTTCAATACGTTGTGAAAACTCAGCTGTCAGTTGATCTTAATGTTATGAAAAGTATGTCGTTTGCAATTAACTTGGCATAAAATAATTTATTTGCATTTAATTGTAATGGTTCAAAGAATGTTCGGAAAAATGTTCGGCCCTCCACCATGTTCACTTCATCCAATCTGGCCCTCTTTGAAAAAAGTTTGGCCACCCCTGCTGTAGTGTAACTTAGCTTGTCCTGCGATCCCCCCCAATGTCCTCCAGCCAATGCTGGCATCAGTCTTCCAAGTTCCCTTCCCTGCGAGCGTCCTGTCACAGGGGGGCGTAACCAGTGGGAGATTACTTTTTTAAAAACATGTCGTACACAATACATTGTAATGTTAGGTTTGCATTACTGTATCAAAACCATTTCACCTCAGTTTTGTCCTGTGCCCTGCCTGCACTTTTACCATTCTTTCTGCCTGGAAACTTTAAAGTCCATGGCATCCAAAAAGCATCCATTTAGGTCCAAAGCAGTTTTAGACCAGCTAGAGAACAGCGATAGAGAATTTGAATCACTTGCAGAATTGAGCAATAGTGATTTGTGGGAAAATTCATCAGACACAAAAGGGGTTTATTTACTAAAGCTGGAGAGTCCAAAATCAGACTCCCTTCTGCATAGAAACCAATCGGCTTCTAACCTCAGCTTGTTCAATGAAGCTTTGGCAATGAAACCTGGAAGCTGATTGGTTTCTATGCAGAAGGGAGTCTGATTTTGGACTCTCCAGCTAAATAAACCCCAAAGTGACGATTCTGTGACTGAGCTCAGGGATGTGCTAACTTGGTACTCTATTTCAAATTTGTGTGTTTTGGTTTGCTTACATTATTAAATGTATTTTTAATAACTATATGATTTTGTGTGTCAAATTTAATCATACCCAGAATGGTTACTAGACACTTGTTAGGAATAACTCACTTAAATCTGTCCAAACAATTACAGGCCTACAATATTCTCCAGAAGTACTGTGCAGCCTCAAATCATCTCAATCTCCACCCAGACAATTGACAAAATACCATTTAAAGCAGAATTTATTGACAATGATATTTACAAATGGAACAGCTACAATATTTAAGCTCTGTGATGACAGTCGATGATAAAATATGGAGGAAGGTCAGGATTATTTCTTCACAATCTGAATAACATCCTCATCTTCTAGGACATGATCTTTACCGACTTTCTGTGGGTTATGCTTGACAGAGGATCCCCATACCAAGGCACTGCAGAGAAAGACATATTATATTTTCTCTCCTTCATGACAGAGGGTAAAACAAATCTTAATGCATGAACAGTTTTCCCAGCGTTGACATGTTAGTAAAACTACATTTACTCACAACTACTTCCAAATTGGGCTTTCATTTGATGGTAAACAGTGATGTATATTTATTTTGTAAATCAAAACTGGCCCAAAAGCATAAAAAAAAAAAACACACTTGCGCAGAGACTAAGTTTTATGATGTTACAGTGATTCTCATTGTTATAAGCAATCAGAAGCAAAGAAAACAAAAACCCGCCACAGCACACACAATCAGCTTGCCATAGTACAGTGTCCCCAAAAAAAAAAAATGTACGCTGTCACCGGTCAGTGTTCCTCAACATGGACTGTACTGCATGGGATGTAAAACAATTGTGATAACACTTTAATATAATTTCTTCATTTTCCAAAACAAAAATGTTGACAACGTTTCAACTTCCAAAAAAAAAAAAAAAAGCTTGCCGTGCCTCTTATTAAATACCAAAGGATTGATTTGGGGTAAATGTACTGTCTTGGCATTTTTGAGCCTTAAGAAATGTCACAGGCCCTCAGAACTGACTGATTTTCAAATATCACAAAGTTTATGGACTCTAGAAATTTTGGAGACCCCTGGTCTATAGGGAAGTTTTTTTTTTTTTTTAAACAAAAGGGCCGGTTTACTATCCAAACTTTAGGGGGGCCAGACATCGGTGTCAATGGGAGGAATATTGCCCCATTGTTGATGGCAGTGGGAGAAAGTATGCCACACTGTTGCTTGCAGTGGGAGGACTAATACCTCGAGGGGCAAATAAAAGCAAGCAAAAGGCTGCATCTGGCCCCCGGGCCGCAGTTTGGAGACTACTGCTATAGACCAAATAATATTCACCCAATGGATTTGGGTTATTTTTACCAAAGAAATGTTGCAGTATAGATTTTGATTTAAATTTCAGAAGTTTTTTTTTTTTTTTCTTTTCAAATCTTTTTTCATTTATTTAGCAAAAAATAAAAAACCCAGTGGCGATTACTTTGCATACAATAAAAAACCCAGTGGTGATTAACCACAAAAAGTAAGTTCTATTTGTGTGCGGAAAAAAAAAAAAAAAATACAAGTTTAAATTTGGGTACAGTGTTGCATGAGTAATTGTCATTCAATGCGTGACAGCGCTAAGGCTCCATGCACGCCGGCTTAAAAAAAAATTCCAGTGATCTTGGCAAAAAAAAAAAAACAACGAAACATTTGAGTATTTTTCTACTTGCGTTTAGGAGAGTTTAAAGTTTTATTCTGCCAGGAAAAAAAAAATTCAAAAATGAAAAAACTGAAGGTTCCCCCCCCTTTCTGCCTCTAAACACAAAGCTTAAAAAATGCCACTACACTACCCACATAACAGTTGTTTCCACAGGTAAAAAAAAAATAAATTCTAAAATCAGAGGAGCAGCGGGTTTTTTTTTTTAAAGTTAATGTGCATGGAGCTTGAAAGCTGAAATTTGTCCTGGGCAGGAAAGGGGTGAAAATGTCTGGTATTGAAGTTGCTAGTTTACATACAAAAAAAAAATTAAAAAAAAAATATGGAAGTATTCAAATGAATATGGTCTTATCAAAAAACTGCAGCTGTACAAGATCAACTCTTCAGAAAATGTTCAGGTTACCAACGGATTTCTAAAGACTAGCACCCTCCATTAGACAGCTAGGTAGAGCATGTATAATGTAAGAATCAGCCATCCCAGGAGGGATGAGCCTACTGCAAGAAAAAAAAAAATTACTGAACATAAGAAAAATCTATGGAAGGAAAAAAAAAAAAAAAAAAAAAAAAAGTTCTTGGATAAAATGCACACATTATATTTGGACAGAAAAAAATAAAACCACCAAAATCTTGCCCCAACTGTAATGCATGGTTGCGTATAATGGAGTGGGGCTGTGATGTGAAATCAATAGCTTGAAAACTATGACATAATATAGGTTTTTTTTTTTGTACTAGCTGCAAAAATCCTATTCTTGGAGTCCATTGAGGGACACAGGAATTCTTACTCAGGATATACTGACCCCTATGGGAGAAAGACACTGGCAATATAAAAAAAAAATAAATAATAAAAAAAAAAAAGTTATGGATGGGGTCATAAGTGCCTCAAAGCCACACCAGGTGTGCTTTGAAGTCATGCTACTTCAGTGCGATTTCAAAGCTGCCGATCAGTGCAACTTCATGTGTGGCTTGCCAACATCTGTGTGACTTCATACACAGATGTCAATGCAAGTCAAACATGAAATCTCACAAAAATAGTGCAGGAACTTTTCAGAGTCGCTGCGTCGCAAGTTTAACCAATTTGTACGGTTCCATAGAGGCAAAATAGGGTGCGGCTTGTCATGAGACTTTGATCTGTCAAGTCTCATGACAAGTTGCACCTGGTGTGAACGGGGGCTTAGTTGTGTAGCAAATTAGAGCCAAGAGCATAAAATTAAACAGAGAGGGATTACAAAATGTACAACAATCTTCCTGAAGGAAGTAGTGGCTGAGAGATACTCTTACTGCCAAGACACATCAAGGACATGGGAGAGTTTTTTTTTTTTTTGGTGAATAGGAAACAGAGGAAAGGGACAACAATGTTTTGGTTGAAGTGGAAAGCAGAACTACCCTAGACAAAAAGGAAGTCCTGGGTCTCACCACCACCTTGTCACTATGCAAAACCAGAAAGGGCTCTTTAAGGACTGGGGCAACCAGTTCAGACACTTGCCTCACAGAGGTGATAGCTACTCGAAATCCCACCTTGTAAGTAAGAGTCTGAGTCGCAAGAGAACCAGATTTAGATCCCTTGGAGTGGCAGTGAAATAAACAGGGCGAGCTACAATGGAGAACACCTGTATAAAAAGGTCTAAATCAAGGAGTGAATGCCAAAAAGGGATCTAAAACAAATGCTGAGTGCCCAGACTCAGCTGAAAAGAGGAAAGAATTTGTTCTACAGAGAATCTCAGAGATCCACACCAAATGAAGCATGTCTCCCAAGTCTGATAGACCGTGCCGGAAATAGACTTCCCAGCTGTTAGCATCATAGGAACCACCGGATTCAGAGATGCCTCTGCTTTTTAAAACCTGGGCTTCAAACAGCAACACTGTTAAACCCCACGGCTGCAACCTGTCCTTGAGACAGAAAATCCAGACAACCTGGAGGATCCCACAGACAGTCTGCCAAATGTCTTAGCAGGCTGGCATACCATACCATACACCATACCACATCCACCTGGGTCAGTTCAGGGAACGGAGGATCGCAGGAAGAATTTTCATAGATCCTCTGAAGCAGACGAGAATGAAGTTTTAGGGGAGGAAAGGCATAGACAAGGGTGTACTAATCCCAGTAAGCCTCTTCTAGAGGATCCCTGAACCTGAAGACAAACCTGTCCAGTTTAGAGTTGAACTTAGAAAACAGAAAGTCCTGGTACACCTCCAGACATAGGGACCACGCCTCTTGATCAAGACACAGCCAGCCCAGAAGTCTGTCTATTGATGTGCACTTTGAAGAAGACGGGAACCTGAATGTCTCCCCAGAGCAGGATCCCAATTACCCTTCTAGCTGTGGCAAGACCTCTAAATTCCTCCTTGGTGAAGAAAAAAAACAAAAACAAAAAAAAATTTGTGCAGGGACCAGACAGACTTTTCCTATGGCAGAATGTTGTAGAGGTCTTGACTGCAACTGAGCATATTGAGTGCCTTGAAGGAGACTTTTGTCCAGCCCAGGACTCTCATGCAAAAGAGAGTTCAGCAGCACCAGAAGAAAATAAATGGAATCCGAGACTAGAGATTTTGACAATCTTGAGGAAGCTAGACTAGCTTCTGAGGCGTTTAGGTGTCTCACCTAGGTCTTTTATTATCAGGAATATACTGTGGTCTAAATGTGGAAATATGGCTCTATATACCCACACTAGACCTCAGGGATCCTTGGCCAAGTTAACACCTCAAACTCCTTGTGTTCCTCAAACCATTGTTGAGTTCATTAGACCAAGCCACCCTTCTTTAATTGCTCCATGGTCCAGTTCTGATGCACACATGCTCACTGCAAGTGCTTTTGGTTGGTCAGGGTTCCCATGGATACCCATGTCCACAGTCTACGGCTATTCAAACCTCATATGCAACAAACTGCAATGCACTGTGTTGCGACACCTATCAGAACCAGCATTACCTTTTTCAGCAATCTGAGCTACAGTAGCTCTTATACTGAATCAGACTACCTCACCCACACCACCTGCTTTACATTTTACAAGGGCTGCTTCCTCATCACATCACTGCCATTTCTCTCTTGTCTCCCTGCTATTGCCACCTGAGGTGGAGAAGCAGGGAGAGAAACAAAAATTTCACAAAATGGCCAATCAGGTGTTTAGATTACACCTTATTCAGCTGGTTGTTTGTGTTGACTTAATCATCAGCTTCCCACTGAGCTGTGATAAGAAGCGGAGAACATACATATGAGGAGGAAGGATGATGTTCTCTGCCACAATAAAAAAAATAAAAAAAAACCAAACACCAAAATGAGAAATTTAATTCCCCACAAATGGGGACATACAACAGTAGGTTGCAGATAGCGGGACAGGAAAACTGCCTCAGTTCAGGACCGATAATCCATATTTTATCACACACACACGATTTCCTGAATAGCATGGTGAACTGGAACCTGGATAGTCACTAGGGATGCACCAAAAGTTCGGCCACCGAAATATCAGCTGAAGATAGGAAAAAATTAGCCAATACAGGGGACTGTGTGTACTGCAGATGTGAGGGGGGCAGAGAAAGGCAGGAAAGGAGCAGTGTATACAGTGACTGGCTATCACTATATGTCAGTGCCGGTTTTTAAATACAATTACCAAGTTTTTTTTTTTCCTTCACTACAGCTCAGAATCAGCTGTCACTTTCCCTGAGCTAGAAGAAACAGTTTCTTTCCTGAGCTAGATAAAACAAAAAAGTTTATTTTTAGTTTTTTTCCCAAGCTAAAAGAAAAAAAAAA